AGTTCTCTCATTGTAGCCTCCTTCAGAAGAAATAAAAACAGGCGAAGATGAAGATGAGGAAGATAATGATGCTTTATTAAAGGAAAACAATGAAAGTAAGGTTTGCATGCTCTTGGTCTTTTCGCAGTTTCTCTCTTGATGCGGATGGTAGGAGCTGTGTTTGGGCAGGCTCCCTGCCAGGGTCACCTCTCGGGTCCCCCAGTGCTCCCTGGGCCCACGTTTGGGACAGCCCCAGACTCTCCTGGATCCTGTTGCTCGGAGCGTCCAGCTCTTCCGCGCTGGATCCGCACTTGCACTGGGACCCTCCACCACCTGTAGCTCCTGCTGCGCGGTGGTGATTTGCAGTGTTGCTGGGTGTGTGTACTGGAAACGTGGGCATTGCTGTGTGAATACTCACCCGAGTGCCCCCAGCCCCTCCGGCTCTCACCCGAGTGCCCCCAGCCCCTCTCACCCCTCTTTCTCTCTTGGGCAGCCGCGGTGTCTCCTCTGGCACCCGCTGGGGTAGGTGGCTCTGCAGCCTTCGCAAACAGACCTGGTCCAGCTCGGAGATCTTCCTTCTGCTGCCTTTAGGGGCCTTGAAGGCAAAGCCTGTGCTGAGCAGGGCGACCTTCCTGCCAGGGGCTTCTCTTGCTCCTCCGCATCAACTAGTCCCTTCCCTTTGGCCTGTAGCCTCCGTACATCTCGCTCTGACCTCTCCTTCCCTCTCTCCTGTGTCTGTGAATCTGCTTCTTCCATCCTCACGCACGCCCCTCATCTCATCCTCCTTTTCCCTCTGTCACGTATCTCTGCACTGCCTCTCTCAGCCTGGGTAGGGAGGGGGCACGTGCAGACTCGCAGCGGACGCAGCCGGGTGTCCTTCACTTCATGACTTTGTTCAGAGCTTTTCTTTTTCCTCTCTTTTTTCCCCTCCCTGCTGTTTGGAAGCCTTCCATGGGTCTGTGTAACTCTCTTCGTTGCCCTTGGCATCCAGCTCCCGGCCTCTTTGCCCCAGTCTCCCGGTCAGTAGTGCAGAGGTTCTCCAGCTTAGCGCTGCCCGCCGGCTTCACCGCGCACGATGTACCCTGCTCCTTAGGCCTTGTCCTAAAGCCCAGACGGGCTCCGTGCAGCCTCCTGCACCCTCAGGAGCGCTGGTGCTGCCGGCGGGACTGGCAGGGCTGCTCTTCTCGTGCTCTTCGTTCTCGCCCCTCGAGGCAGTGGCTTCAGCTCACGTGTGTGAGCGTGGCTGTTGACCTCCAAAAGAGGAAGCCAGGCCCTGTCAGGTGGCTCTTCACGTGGTGCCAGCGTGAGCCCCCTAGAGATACAGATAAGAGGGTGATCAGTGTCCGTGGTTGATAGGTAATTCATCCTTTAGGGTGTTCTTTGTTGCTGGTTAGGATGGTATAAAATGAGCATAGGTGCTGAGTTAGATTATAGACTATGATGAGGTTTATAAATTTGCCAACGCACTTATGTAACGTAATCCCACAGTTGGATTCTCAGCAAAGCTCAGTATTTGGCGTTTATCTTGATGCCGGCATGAGAGCAAATACCTTGAAGTACTGACTACATAGTAAATTTAATATCCTCTTCATGCCCCTGCTGTTAGCAGGAGCATCTGACTTGTTTCCTGTTCCAGCCCTTAGCAGCACAATAAAAGGGAAGCAGATGACTGAGGAAATTTTTCCTAGAGGAAAATGAAATGCTAGAGACCCCTCTGCATTTATTTGAATGTTGCAGCTACTTGTGAGCAATCTCTTTTTGTTTGGAGGAGGCAGTTCTGGTGTCCTGAAGACTTCAGCACTTGTCTCTCAGTCAAGCAAGCGGTGCCTCAGAGAGACGTTTTTCATCTGCATGGGCAATAGGGGATGTTTCTCTTGGAACACAGATAATACTTCTGGAAAGCCTTGAGAAAAGTAAAAACTTGAGAGCCCTCAAAGCTGTTGAGCAGGATTTAGAGAGTAGCTGAAAGGAGTTAGTCTGTTGGTGAACAAATAGCAGGTTCAAAATGGGACAGGTAGATAGTGCTGTGCCTGCTGGAGGCCTTCCTTGGTGCACTGTGATCCTCTTTTCCAGGTCCGGAGGTGCAGCGGGACAAGGCCATGACCGGCGAACAAATCGGGTCATTTGCCAACAAGCTCGGGGAGCACTGGAAGGTTTTGGCCCCCTACTTGGAGATGAAGGACTCTGACATACGGCAGATCGAGTCGGATAGCGAAGACGTGAGGATGAGGGCCAAGCAGCTGCTGGTGGCCTGGCAGGACCAGGAGGGCTCCCAGGCGAGCCCGGGCAACCTGATCGCGGCGCTCAGCAAGGCCGGGCTGAGCGACCTTGCGGAGAGCCTGACGAGTGACACCGAGAGCAGCAGCTAAGCCGCTCGCGCTTCCGCCTCTTGCTCTTCTGAGGTCGTGGTGAAACTCCTCGGTAACAAACCTTTGGTAGGTACCGTCTGCTCAGCAAACAATAAAACCTTTTTGTAACCCTCGCTGTTGTCTGGGCTTTCTGGGACGTGAAGGCTTAGTCCTCATGCCCCGGCAGCAGCCAGCTGTGAAGTGCAAGGGGAGGCTGGAGGCGAGGCAGCCTCTGTGCAAGCCTGAGGCTGGGCAGGCTCTGGCATCGCCGCTGGCTTCGGGCTGGGTCTCGGCACGGACGGCGCTGCGGGCCGGGCATCTGCACAGCGCCAAGATGAACCTGGTTGTAGCTCAGCCTTGGGAAAACAGTATCTACTTCCAGTGGAAAAATGGTGTCCCGGAGTCTTCTGTCACAGTGAAGAACTGGTAACTTTTGGTCCTTGCTAGTCAATAACTGGGGGTGGGTTTTTATGTATGTTTTTAGTAATTGTTACCATCAGTCTGTGCATGAGCGTTTATGCCTGGGTCTGGACAAGCTCCTCGAGTAAAAGGGGGGCCCCTGTATTTTTCTGCCCCAGTTAATTACTGTGTGATGACTGACTTCAGGGTGAGGACAAAGCTCTTTGGTGGGCAGAAGCTCTTCCTCGTAGCAGGGTTTGTTTTCTCAAAAATCAAGTGTTGGGGATTTTTTTGTTGTTGTTTTTGTAGCGTTAAGTTGCAGCTGGCTGCAGTTGTTTCATGGTAAATTTTACTGCACGAAGCATCCTAATTTGTGGAATTCACCCTAATTATTGCACGGTGCAGCCCACTCTGTTCTGGCTGCTAAATCCCAGCTCTGGGGTTGCCCCGTGGCTCCCGGCGCTGGGTCCTGCCCGCAGACCTAGCGCTTGCATCCGGTTGTGCCCGCGTCGCCCTCCGGGTTGGAACAGTGAGAGCTTCAGCAAAAGCTGCCCTGGAGCCAGCGGGGAAGGAAGTGCTGGGAATGCCACACGTCCAACTGTATCTCATGCTGTAAGTACATGGGGTACTCGGAAGCAGGAAGATGAAAATGCGGAAAGTTTCTCATGAGCAGGTAGGTGAAACTCGAGTGCTTGATGCCAAGACCTTGCTGCAGAAATCAGGAGTGACCGGCCTGTGCAGCCAGAGCTCTTCAGTGCGATGTTAAATTGCCTGCCTTCAGTTTGAGCCTTGGCTGTGGAGGTTTGGGAAGGCCCATGTACAACGGGATCCGCTTGAGCCCCAAGGGAAGCTCTGCCCCACTTGAAGGAGGTGGGGGAGAGCGAGAAGCCGGTTCCAGGGCTGAAGGAAAAGGCGGCTCCCTGGTCAGTGCCTTGAGGCCGAGATAGCGGGCACGGCGGCGGGTGCCGTGGGGAGAGCGTGGGGCAGGTGCGAGTGCCCGGGGGCGCCTCACCCGGGGTGGGAACCAGAGCTGCCTCCCCCGCCTGCCCGGGGTGCGGATACGGGCAGCAGCTCAGCACGGGGCAATGGGCACCGCGAGAGGCGGACGGGACGGGGCAAGATTTTCTCTAGTACTGCTTCCCCTGGGGCATTTTTGAAGTACCAGTCATTTACTTATAATAACATTTTGTCCCATGCACCTTAAAATACAGTTACGATGTTTTTGGTTTTCTTTTTTTTGGATACAGGCACACGTGTATCTCGAAATGAGAAACAAGCATTTACAAAAATAAAGGGGAGAGAGGGAAGAAGTGCTTTAGGGGAAGGAAGAAGCGTGTTGGGCTTGTGGGTGGGTGCTGCTGTTTTTCCTTTGGTACCCAGGCTGGAGCAGCGTTACCGGCGGCTTCTTCCCTGGGGGCAGCCCAGGGCTGCAGGGAGACCGCAGTGGCCAGCGCTGGCCCCTTCCCTCCGGCCCCTTCCCTCGGGAGGGCTGGGAGAGGCAGCGCTCAGCAGGGAACAAGGAGCGGCTGGAAGGGCCGTGGAGGAGCAGCTCCTGCCCCCTCTTCTGCTGCTGCTGCTGCAAAGAAAGGGAGCGGGAAAGGCGCCATCCCCCTCCCATGGTGTACGTGGGCATGGATGTAGCGCAGAGGCCGCCTCGCAGGGGATAGAGAAACCTGCCTTTAAAATACAGGTGAGATGGGAAAAAAGAGCTCATTGTTCATGTCACCAAGTCACTGCCCGCAGGAAAAGGGTGTGCAGGGGAGGCAGAGCTCAGTTCCTCCTGCAGCCTGCAAGAAGATGCAACTTGGGGGAATGTGGACAGGCCGAGGGCCTGGGGCCTGTGCTAGAACTCAAGGCCTCGGGGCAGAGGCTGAACTGAACAAGGCAGTTACAGCCTCGTGGGGTCAGGCTCTAGTTAAAAGAAGCATCTTTTGTTTTAGCCTCTCCCTTGCTCCCTTCTGCGACAGGCCCAGGGGCAACAGACCAGAACTTACCCTAAGTGAAACTCAATTTTCCAGACTTGAGCTACCCCATTAAGACCTCAGTATAAGCAAAGGGCCACAACAGGAGCCTTAAAACTGGAGCTTCAGGACGATTAGGAATCTGCCACGGCTGCTTTGGGGCTCAGTAGTCCAGAGAGGCCCCCTCCTAACTGCACTAGCGAGACGGGACCATTTCTTAACGGAGACACAGTGTTACTGATCACAGTTTATTGCAAAGTCATGAAATGGCAGCAGCAGCAGAACAGACGCACGGGGCAGGGGAGGGCAGCCCTGCTCCTGGGCTGGGGCAGCCGCTCTGGGCTACGCACCGAGGTGGCCCCGTCGCCAAAAACGCTGCCCCCCGGCAAAGAGGGGAGAGCGCCCGGCCCGGGGCATAATCCATGCAGGGGCACAGCGGTGGGAGGAGGTCAGCAATAAATACGTGATGGCAGTGGGAGAGGAGGAGGCTCATTTAAAAAAAAAAATCATCTTCTGCGAGACATTAAAGCTACTTTCAGTATTGTCACTGCCCCCACGGGCAGCCCAGTCCAGCACTGACTAAGTGGTACATTGATCAGTTTTTAAACAACAACCCTCTTCACATGAAAAAGTCTGAACCAATTATGGATCCACTTGCTAAAGCCCCGGGGTTAGAGATCAGTAATCAACATTTATTTCACACCTCGGCCGCCTGCCCCGCCCGGCGGCTACTGCTCGGGCTCCTGCTCGGGCAGCTCGATGCGCCGGGGCCCGTAGAGCAGCACGTAGGCTATGTGCCAGTCGCCGCCGCCCGACAGCCGCAGGATGTCCTCGGGCGTCACGATGCTCACTTTGTCGTCATCAAACTTGATCCATTCATCTGCACCACAGCAAGGGCACGATGAGCCATTTACACACACACAAGCCAGGTGCTCACAGCCCCTGAGGGCCCCCCCCTTCACAGCCAGGTTCTTTCCCCAAATACTGCTTTTTTGTTTAGTTTTGGGGGCTGGGGGTTGTTTCTTTACCTTGTTTCCTTTTCACCCACGACACGTAATGCCCCGAGGAACTGGATCTGCCTTGATGCGTTAAAACCGCCTGCAGGTCGTAATAGCCGCAGTTGTTGGAGCCAGTGTCTGAGGGAGGGAAAAGGCGGCGTCAGGGAAGGGCCGCGGGGCTGGGACACGCAGGGAGTCTGGAAGCAGAGGCCGCGGCACCCGCAGACACCCACGCAGGGGACGCGAAGCGCCAGCCCCGGGGACAGGGCCCCCGCGCCCCCTAAGGAAGGGGAGAACCGGGCTCCGCCAGAGCCGGGCGCTGGGCAGGGAGCTGCGGGTCTGGCCCCGGCTCCCGGATCATCCTCTGCACCCCGGGAGTGGCCAGGGGTCCCGCTGCCTCCACGAGGGCGCAGCCCCCATGGCACAAACCCTCAGCTGGAACACTCGGGACAGACGGGATCTGCAAGGTGATTTCCACACAGCCTCTCCGTCCTTTCACTTCAGTGAGGTTTTGAAGATGGGTTTTTTATAGGGGACAGGGTACCTCGAACCATCCCTCCCCCAAGGTGGGGGTGTCTGCACCTCCCAGCACTCACCATCAGGAAAAGAAAACGGTTCATATTTCACTTCTTTCTGTGCACCGTCGCCTTTACTAGACTAGAAAAGAGAACACGACACATTAACACGGGCTGCTTTGGGAAAAGCTGCAGCACACCCACCCTACTGCCCAACTCTACGTTCTTCTGCAGATGTTCCTAAGCCCGGCCCTCCTGTAGTTCAAACAAGGTCTGCTGCAGCACTGCCAGGCGGCCCTAAGGCGAGCGAGGCAGCTCTTTAAAGCAAGGCTTTAAAGCCCCATGCGTGTGGGGCTCAGCTCCTGGGTTTGAAGATGAAAAGATCCTGCAATGGAAGCTTCACACCCAGAGCACGGGGCACAGGGCGGCATCCAGGCGGGTTTGGAAGATCTCCAGGGAAGGAGACTCCACAGCCTCCCTGGGCAGCCTGTGCCAGGACTCTGGCACCCTCACAGGAAAGATCCTTGTTAGGGACCTCCTAGCAGTGGAAGTAGCAACAACAGACTGCACGAGGCAGACGACAAGTGCCAATACCTTCGCCGTGTTCAACAGAGAATGAGAGGGGCTTGTGTCTGAAAGAGAGGTCTTATCCAAACCCCTCAACGACGCAGCCTAGAAAGAGGGCAGGGAAAGGCCATCGAACACGGGCCAAGACACTGGGGTTTGAGCCCCTTTCCTTTCCTTTCCTTTCCTTTCCTTCCTCCATCAGGAGTGTGCCAGTTTTCCAACACGTGAGCGAGGGCAGAGCCTTCCCCTGCAGGGGCAGCAGCGGCCGCTGGGGAGCGGAGTGGGGGGGCAGCTTTCCAGGCGTGGGGCAGCCCCACGGCCAGCTCCGCGGGCAGGGCCCGGGGCGGCCGCCTGGCGCCGCTCCCGTTTGTGGAGGGGTTGCCTCTTCCTCACGCGGCCGCGGCAAGAATCTGTCTCGTATCCATGAAAAGTACACAGGATAGAGATCTGCGCTCAATGCTCAGGAGCCTGAGTGCTGAGGGGAATGCAACACCTATGTAATGAACTTAACTTGATTTCTGAATGGAAAATGTACATATACGTATGCATTTCTATACAGATGCAATATAAAGAAAATCAGGAATACAGATGTGAGCATACATTAAATGCATATTTTAACACATGCAGATGTGAACTATCCATACTTTCTCCAGCTGAATTCTCAGGGCTGCAAACCTCCAGTTTATTCCCCAGGATTTCTGCGTCCCTAAGGAGGCGGCCGGGGCCGGGGTGGCTCCGAGCGGTGCCGCAGGGCGCTGCGCCCGGCCCTCCGGCAGCTCCAGCAGGGATCCCCCGGAGCCTCCCCGCGCTCTGCAGCGGGAGCGAGGAAACCGTTTCCGGGAAGAGGCTCAAAGGGGAACCTTTGGAACACTGACTGCAGTCAGCTGGTGTTTAAGGGCAGGGAACGTAAGCCAAGCGGCTTCCCGTTGCTCCGAAATACCAACACGTGAAACCGACCAGCGCTTCACACAAACACCCAATTCTGATTACAGCACAAAAAGGCTTCTGCAGGGATCTTCCTTTCTCCCCTGTCTTTTAATCTAGGCCACATTCCCTCTATGTCACCTTGTGGCCCGCGGTATCTGAGCACAGATTTGCTTACAATCATCTTAGGCGTGACTCTTACTTGGAATCAAACATTAACCAAAACAGCCAAGAAATTGCCACACGACTCACTCACATTCTTTGGTTGCTGATTTACTTTTTTGTCTTCTAGGTCCTTGAATTTTGATCGGTAGGAAACCATTTTTTCCTGAAGTTCTGGTGTACACAACTCGTACACATCCAACATAAGAGGAAATTTAACATCCTGGGAAGACAAAAGCATGGAGGTTATTAGCCTGGCCGGCATTCCACATGACAGCCCTCTTCCACTGCAAGGCACGTCGCCACGTGCTGTTAAATGCAACTAAATCACAGTTATGAGAACTCTGTCTACCCAAGTGCATAAAGTAGCACTTGCTGCCAGGACTTAACTGACGCCTTTTTACAGGGAATATCCAACTCGAGGTAAACAGAAACCATCTTTAATTGCTCCATTCAATCTAAACAGTTTCTCGAGTATCCGACGTACTTTCATTCCAGGAAAATACCCCCACACATCTAAGGGAACAAATGCAGGCGGAATACATGCTGTATACATGCAGAATGCCACGATATCCTCCTTGCACAGTCTTCTGGAACAGCCAAAATGCTTCAATTCTCTTGCTTGGCGAGGCCCAACGTCCTCCCGCCCGGCCCCGTCGGGCAGCCCCCGAGGCGGCAGAACTGGGGACACCTGAAACTGGTTCCAGCACCTGCCCGCGGCCGGACGGGCCCAGTAAAGCACCTTGCACACAAGTGCTGGTTAGCACAAACGGTTTCTGCCCCACTGCAGAGCACAGCAGCGCGGGGCAGTGAAAACAAGGTCCTCTCTTTAATTAAATATTCTCCACTGGTGAAACAGGATCCCTTCGGCGCCGCAGCAACTTAACTTCTCTCTCCAGACAATAAAAGGCCCTTCAGTTTGTTCTGGTACCACAACTGGTAGCCAGGCTGGTTCATACTCAACACAGAAACTCTACTCTTAATGCTCCTTAAGAGTAATATAAAAGCAAACACTCAAGTGCAGATAACCTGCAAGTAACTCATCATCTAGCTCTAAGAGATAAAAAAGATTGAAAAGCATAAAGATTAAACTCTGAACAGCTTAGGGTGGGAACATGTTACTCACCTTAAGAACTTTGGCATTCACAGATTCTTTCTCTTTGTAAAAAAATCTAACCATCTGAATAGTCAGATACGCCGGCAAGCGACTAATCTTAGACTGAAACAAAAACAGTGTAGAAAATGCTGTTATTTCAGATTCTCACGGATCATTTATACCTTAGACACTGGTCCTACTGAACTCGAGGCTATTCTTGGGGTATATTTATACTCAAACATATAAGAATACTTCAACTCCCATCCTGAAACTCTGCATAGTTGTGCGTTGCAAGAAATAAACTTGGACTTCTAGTATCCAATCACTTGGTCCTAGATACCTCGATGCTTTACAAACTAAGTCACAGGCTGTTCCCACAGTGACTTTGTCCTTTGGGGCAGAAAACCAACATGAGTGAAAAGAAACATAAAAACAGCAGCGGCACCACTCACAGATTTGATATAGAGTGCATCTCTCTGCAAGGTTGGAGACAGTTTGGTGATCTCCTCTTGAAGACGCTATAAATAAATAACATAAGTAAGATCTGCTGAACTTATAAAGCACAGAGCTCAAAGCAAACACAGCCTAGATGAACAAGGCACCACCCCAAGTCCCGCTCTGCCAGGCTATTCTACCTGCTGCCACCAGGCACTGCACTGTCCTGAACTTGGGAATTCCCTGGCAGGAAGAGCAGGCAGGTTGGTTTGCCCAGCTCCAAGGTCACTCACCATCCCCAACCCCACTGACAGTGTTTCTCTCTGCAAGAAACTTTATTCTGCTGCAAGAAAGCTGCACTTTGCAAGTGAAATATCTTAAGTGTCATAAAAAATACATTTTTTTATATATATATATATATATATGTATTTTCTTGCAACAGCAAGATTGGCACATTTCTTAACTCTCCTTTTATTCAGTTGGTCTTTGAAAAAGGAGACAGAGCAGCAAACAAGCAGCTCATGGTCATATTCTGCTGACAAACTTCCAAGGACCCTTCCAAACTCCGGGCACGACCGGCCTGGTTGTTATTGCTGTGATTCCCTCTCACTACCGACAGTCCAGCACAAGAATCCCGGAAGGCCTTTCCAGACCTGGAAGAGAGGTGCCTTTTTTCCCCACAGTGTTCATAGTTTGCTAGATTTACCTCTTCTAGCTCGCTTTTCCTTCAAAATTCTGCTATTAGCGACAGATGGGAGGCTTATCCAGAGCCAGGAAGCTGCTCCAAGCGTGTCCCAAAGAGCCCACTGCTTCCACCCCGCTGCTCCTAGTAGTGCTAATACTAGTAGTAGTAGTTAGTAGTAGCTAGTTAACTAGCAGTTAGTAGTGCTAATACTACTAGGGAGTTAGCGCTAATGCTCCAGTAACTGCTACAGGGAAGTCTCCTGTAGCTGCTCCTTCCCTTGCTACTTCAGATGCTCCAGAAAACATGAAAAATAAGAAATGCAAACGCAAACACAGCCCAGGGCCCCCCCGACTACTCTAAGAACTCCTATTCAAAGAGTCACAATAAAGATAACAATGTGCCCTGGAAAATTTCACACACACACAAAAACGCAAAATGAAAATTAAGCTTGTTTCATCACCTGTATTTCTTAAGAACTTAGCAATGAAAATGCCACCCTGTTGTAAAAGTGACGTCAGGGCTTTTTTTGGAACCAACTTCAGCACGCTTGAATCACAGGGCTGCTGCAATGTGCAGGGCCTGCCTGCTGAACAAGTAGATTCTGGTAAAATCTAAGCTGCAGCAAAGTGGCTTGCAGCTGGGTAACTGCATGTGGACACCCAGCCAGGGTCCAAAGCAAACAGAAAATGCTCTGTTAAAGTCTGCTTTTCACAAGTCATTTGCACTTCATTTCACCTTCTCTGCACAAAAAAAAAAAATTGAAAAGGATATGGAGCAAAGTTTGGAAAACAGATGCCTGTTCCAATTCAGAAATGGGAAAAAAACAGGCAGTTCAGAATGTCAATAAAACATATGGAAAACATATGGTATTAATTAAAGAATAATATATTGCATTGACTTACCAATTTCAGTCCTGTAAACAGGTATTTCACTTCTTGATTGATAAAGCAACTAAGCTGCAGCAGATTCTCCTTTCCTTTCGTCACCTCCTCCTCTTCAGCTTCCGTGCATTTCATGCTTGCCCGAGTTAAGGAAGACGGCGGCGTGGGCAGAGCGCGGCCGCCTCCCGGCCCAGGGCGCCGCTCCAGGTGGCTCCAGGGCCGCCCGCAGCTCCGGCTGCCTGCCCTGCTCTTCCAGCCCTGCTGCTGCGGCCGCCTCGCCTTCCCATTTCTTCAGAGCCTGAACAACCTCCCCCTTGATCAGGGCCTGGAGCATCTGCCCTGTGAGCAAAGGCTGAGGGAGCTGGGCCTGTTCAGCCTGGAGAAGAGAAGGCTGAGGGGGGACCTGATCAGCGTGTATAAATACCTCAAGGGAGGCAGTGAGGAGGAGGGGGCGGCCTCTTTTCAGTGGTGGGCAGGGATAGGACTAGAGGAAATGGCCACAAGCTGAGGCACCAAAAGTTCCACAGGAACTTAAGGAAACATTTCTTGACAGTGAGGGTGACAGAGCCCTGGCACAGGCTGCCCAGGGAGGCTCTGGAGTCTCCTTCTCTGGAGATCTTCCAAACCTGCCTGGATGCAGCCCTGTGCCCCGTGCTCTGGGTGACCCTGCGTGTGCAGGGGGGTTGGACTAGATGATCTCTGGAGGTCCCCTCCAACCTTAGGGATTCTGTGATCCTATGATTCTCATCTCTCCTCTCCTGTTTCAGGGGTTACAAACACCACAACACAGGGAGAGAGCGGAGGGCCTTGCCTCACCATTACCACTACGCTTTGAGATACACTGCCTCTTCTTAGGAGCTGACTCCTGTTTGAAAAGCACCAGGCTCACAGCATGATTCTTTCTGGAAAGCGACAGTCAGCTTAACAAGAACGAGGGTTTTGGGGTGGGAGGAGAGAGACTGAATAATCCTTGGGATGAGAAGTGTGCCACACGTTCATCTAGCGCACGTTCTCTTTGAAAATAAATAAATAAAAATCTCTTGCAAATCTTGCAAGTTGCCAGCTGAATTAATTTCTCACTGTCCTAACTGCATGTAGCAATTTTATTAAGAACTCCACCTTGTATCTTGTCATCCTTCATCCATGCTCTGGCACATGGGTAAGAGTATCAGCAGCATTTCCATAACTGGCTATTTGGGAAGAAAGATTATTAGAGAAGACATCTCCTTTTATTTGGATAAGCTATAAAATGTCTCAGCTTCTCTTAAGCAGATAACTGCTTCTCTGGGGAGGAAACCTGACACTTAAACTTCATATTTTTATTGCTGTAAATGTCCATCATCATTCCTCCTCCCTGAACCTTCCCCTCTCAAATCTGATCTTAGCTACAGCTCCTGTGTACTCCTGCAACACAACATCTCCCCTCTTCCCTAACAGGCACCTTTACTTTCTATGCTCTCTTGGATGGTGCTTTTCACTCTCCTGGCACCCAGTTCAGGTACCAAATCACAACCAGTATGTCTTGCCTTAGTGGTCAGGATACGCTGTTTCAAATTCAATGCTGAAGAACTGATCAATTAAACTCTTCTTTTTAGAAGCTCCTGCTGTAGCTCCAGAGTCTGTCTGTAAAACAAATTCTCTTATATTGTAACTTTAAACAACATTTAAGAACAGTCATCTTTACAAACAAAAAACGACCTGTTCTGATTCTTAAAATTCTTTAGTTCCTCTGAAAGTGAAATCCTTCACTTTCATATACTTCATTTTTTTCCTAGTTAATTTCTCAGTCACCTACCTCAAAGCATATGAGCAAGCGAGATTTTAATCAATTTTCTCCACCCCACCACAAGGTTGGACTGCACTCAACACTAAGACAGATTTATCAAATCCTTGTCACTGCCAAAAATCTCCAGATGACCAGTGTAGAGAAAAATAAAGAGATTCAGTCTGGTAAAGTCTTGGAAAAACTTAAAAAGGAGTCTCTCAGCAGGCTCCTTATGTCAGTTCTCTGTTTAAAACAGCATTGATGTAGCTAGGAATGCTGCAGCACAGGGATGCTTTTTCAGAAACAAGTTCTGCTGTGCTGAATTTGCAGCTTATCGGGGCCAGCTGCTGCACGTTCAGAGACCCCCCCAGCACGGTCCAAAACACGAAGAGCTGCCAGGCAAGGAGGCCCCGGCACGGGCTGCCTCGGGCCCATGCCCAAGCCCAGCTGACCCGGGGCAGACAGTACTGCACTGCAGCAGGCCATTTCACTCACTAGACCATAGAGACCCCATAAATATTTCAAAAAACTGACTACTGTAACCAGAACATGGGTGATTCCCGAGTATGGGTGGTGTGAATCTTAATTCTGGTTAGAGTAAGTCTAAAATTACCTCCATAACTGTATCACCTTCTATACCTTCCAGCTTCTGCTGTAGCACCCTCATCATCTGCACCCAGCACTCATTGGCATCCTAGCAAGGGAAGAGAACATTAATAAGTAGTATTAAAAACATTATCTTTGTTTTTGCAATATGAACGTTAAATGCAAGGATTCCTCAATGAAGAACTCCTTCCTACTCCAACACACATTTTTAAAGCTGGCACCTGAGATTACATTCAACTTTTCTACACAATACAAAAGCAAACACGTTTCTGGGATAAAAAGGATCATTCACTTTCACAAGGGGAAGAGATTTTTAACATAATCTCACCTTCCAACACAATATTTTCAATAATTTCATACTTTATTTTCAAACCATAAACTAAGTTAGAAATCTTTACCTGTTGAAGGTACTGGCCTTGATCTCCTTTCTCTGCAAACTGGGGGAAGGCCATATGTAAAAACTGCAGGAGAATGATAGGTGGGATACTGGAGGAAGTTTTATCCATGGAATCAAACAAGTCTCTAAGAGCTTAAAGAAAAAGTAAGTGAATGTTTTGAGAAGTGGAAAAATAATGAAAACATAGCAGGAAGTTTTCTTTTTTCTTTTTTTTTAAAGTTGTAAGATGGCAGCAACATTCAAAGAATGGAGCATTAGCGGTTTCAAATGCCATCTTTGCACAAGAGGGCTGAGTTTGCACCTAAAGTCTCATCCGGGAACACAACTTTGCAAGTGTAAAGATGACAATTCTGACCGGCTGGCACATGGTGCCTTGTCTTTCCTGGCTGCTAACAACAACAACACATTTTTTAAGGTCTTACGATTTCATTTCAAACACATCTGAGGAACAATATTGTTACAACAGGACTACACCTAGAGAAAACAGAACGCACCCACAATTCATCCATTAGAGCAGCTTAAGCTTCCCCTATTGCTGGAAAAACACCTTGTGTTCTTGCCAAAAAAAGTCCCTGGAGAGCACTCACGCTTACTTGAACACAAGTACGTGTACGCACACACGCGGGCAGTTCGGAGCTGGGTGCCATGCCATGAACGTGCCCCACAGCGTGACGATGCACGGGCCTTCGCGCTGCCACCCGTGGCTTTCCTACTCACACGACAGCCTTTTACAGCCACAAAGCACTTCAGAGACATCTGTTAACCCTCCCAACAGCCCTGTGAGGTAGGCAACGGTCTGCATGGTCACTGATTTACAAGTGGGGACACTAGGGAATGAAACTCAAACTAGGGGATATGGGAAAGACTGCAAGGAACCAAGGTCAGTTCCTCTCCTCATGATACATCTTCAACACTGAAGAGGGACAACCGGTATGACACAGCCATTAAAAAAAATGCCATAAGTGTCATGCAGGAGGTCTTGATCAGCTCAGCACCAAAGGGTTAGGAATCTCAGTTCTTAAGACATGAGGACTCCTAAGAAGCAGAGCTGTCACCTTAAAAAGAAAGCAGGGGACACAAAATAAAGGCAGTGGGAAGGGGAGGGCAGGCATGGTTGTAGAGAGTAACCATTGAACTTACCGCCCCAAAATTCGATCAGCAGGCATACCCACAAACTGGACCTTTCCTTCCTGATACTGTTTTGTTTTTCCTTAAATGGACTGGTAGAAATCCCAGTGTCCTGGCCCAGCATCTTAGTGGGGCAGTGAAATAGAGTGAAAAAAAGAAAAAGTGGACAAGTAGCACCCTTGTTCAAGTGGAAGGGGTCTAACTTGAGCCCTAGTTAGCGCCTGCAAACACGGGGCCATCGGGAGCTCCCACGTCGTGGGCACCCAGATCACCACAACAAGGAGCAACTTTCCTGGTGAAGAGGCAACTTCCTTTTGCATTCATGAAACCTGACTCCTTGGGGCAAAGGCTAAGACAAGTGATAAGGCATCAGCTGTCATCTTAATAATGCTCAGCCAGATAAAATATATTAAAAAATACCTGTGACTATGGACTCTGCAGTATAGTGTTAGCTCATCATTACGTGAAACAAAGAACAGCTCGTGAAAATACTTCTAAATAAACCAGATCTATTGAGAAATGGAGGAGCTTGCTTTAGAGGGTTCCAATTCCTCTATGTCCACAGGCAAAACACAGATGTGGATGTTAAATGTTCCCATCTAAATCATACCCAAGTATCACCTCCTCTAGCATGCAGCTAGGAAACACACAGCACAGAGAAGTGTCCTCCCAGCCATGGTCAGGCGAACCTTTAAAGGTACTAGCAACAGAGTAAAATGAGTCCTCCAGAGCTAGCACATCCAAAATTCCCAAGATAGATGTGCTAAAAATATATATACAAATAGCATTGAGTAAAACTTCCATCTCCAATTAGTAGGAAATTACACACAGTCTAAAAACCCTCCACACCAACCTGCAGTAATGTACTGAGCAGAGGCCATTTCTCCTGAAGCTCTTAAGGCACCACCATACCTACAAGAGATGAAAAATAATTCCCAGACAATTAAACTAAGTCATGTTTTTAAGCCATAAAGAAAGGAGGTAGCCAGATTATTAAAAAAAAAAACCCACACCAGAATAAAACAATCACTGAGTAACTGAAGTCAACATTTGCTCCTACTCACACCAAAATACTAGTTCTTCCACAAATATTGCATGGAAAAAAACCCTGTCTTGAGGCAATAAATAACATGCAAACCGAGAAGCCTGGGTTGGGATGCATCTCTGCTGCTTTCCAACCTGCTTGCCCCAAAAATGCAACCTACTAAAAAAAAGAAAAAAAAAAAAGGAAAAAAAAAAAAAAAAGAAAAAAGGAGAGAAAGAGGGAAAAGAGAAAAAGTCTGAGGAAAAAAAGGCAACAAAAGCTACCTCATTTGTGAAATATCTGCCACAAGCTCTTCAAAGAGACACAGAAAACACTTTCTAGCAAAGGTTGTGGGCAAAATACACAGAAATAGGAGGCAACTCTCCACTCACCTTAGCAGCAGCAAAACAAAGAGAGGTGAGGTACTTCCCACACTGAGGAAGCGTGGGAGCCCACTCCTATTACCTGATCTCACCACTCCTTCCAAATGGTTTCTTTTTTCTTTATTTGACACCTGCCTGAGGAGCTGGTGACTTTGTCAAAGCCTTCAAGCAAGAGGAGGATCTCAAGCCTTCTTTAATTTCAGATTGAATGCAAAATATTTTTCCCATTTTTATTAAATTCACCTTATTCTGTTTATGGCTGGAGGATGAGCAGACAACTCTCCCCCATCTCATGCTATCAAAACAGTAATACCCCTGGAGAAACTAACAGAGCAGCTGAAAAGAAATAAAAATAATAATTGTATGCTTCCCCATTCCAAATCATGCGTTTCTCTCCCGCTGCATTTAATCCCACTGCATTTAATCCCACTCTTCCAGTTTGGCCATTGGGCAAATAAAGGCCCGATCTTGTACTGCAGTGTGCTGGTTTTATAGGGTACATCTTGGCATTTGGCACATTCATAAAATAAGTCTGTCAAATATCTTAATTCAATTCAAAAACTTAAGAGCTCTAACTTAAATAGAACTACACAGGTTTTCCTAAACTGACAACACTGGAGATAAAAAAAAAAAAAAAAAAAAAAGAGCTCTAAAATACAGAGCTTCAGTACTCTACAAAACGGATCTCTATGCTGATAAATCTGCTGGCAGAATTTAAACCAGCAAGGTTCACTTGTTAACAGAATGAAGAAAAACTTTACGTACTTTAGCAACTAGTGTTTGTGACATCCAGAAAACCCAGCTGGATAACAGGGCATCAGGAAAGCAGGGCAGATGCCTAGGTGAGTCCACGAGCAATGCCTGCAGTGCTTCACCTAGTCCTCATAGGTTTTAAAACACTGATGGTTTTCTCATTATGCTTCACTTGGAAGCTTCACAAGTTCAGGGGCATATTTACATGTTTTTTTTTCTGTTTCCTTTGATCTTTACATATTTAGCACAGGTTTCTTAAGGATTGCTCTCAAAAAAAAATCCACCTTTCATTTCAGAATAAGGGGAAAAAATCAGAAAAGTTATTCTATCATCACACCTAATTAAACAGATTTTAATCAGCGTATCTTCTGTTCCCTCCACATCCACAGGCCCTGCAGCTTCTTCCAGATCTCTGCCACAGCAACACCTGGGGCTCTATCCCACAGCTTCCTTCCCTGTCCCAACTACCGGATGTCCAATCACCTTAGCATTTCATAGCTGAAAATGTGTTATGCCAAAGAGCTATGGAAAAAAAATCATCTTTAAAGGAACAGCACTCTCAGACGGTACTTTCTATAGCAGACCCTACAGGAGGATGCCAGAAAACAGGGTTAAGAGTTCAGCAGCTTAAGTATTTTAAACAGGTCTTGATAAGAATTAATTCTTAAAACTGTGTGAAACTACATCCCTCTACTAAAAATCTAGTTAAAATATATATACAAAAGTTATATATATCTATTAGTTATATATATACACATTAGTATTAAAAGACTATATATGAAAAGACTACTACAGCCATAGGATGAACTTTGGGGGAGTGTTACATCAATCTGCAACAGATACATTAGAGCATTATGTTAAGTGGAAACAACATAGAGATGACTACTGCACAAAAATGTCTGTTTTGTGAGCTAAAGAGTGGCATTTTTACACCAAATCATACCTTTTAAGGGCCTCTTTCACTTCTGGCACAGAGCGGATACACTGAACCGTGGCATTCATGTAGCAAGTGTTGCCAAGGTTCGTCAGGCCACACGGCAATTCCATCTACCAAAACAAATACAAGGGGGCTTGAAGGTCAGAGAGACGTGTACCTGTTTTTGTGCAAGTACCACAATTTGACACCGATCTGGCAGAAAGGAAATGATCTGAGATGCCCAAAACCTGGCACATGCCATCAAACTTCATTTTATGCAGCTTTCCAAATCTGTTCACCACTCGGTGCTTCTAAAGGACATTCAGGAATGCTTTGTGTTACTTCTGGGCACGTTCAGCTTAATGAGCATATTCCTCAAGCAGGCAGCCATTCAGAAAGTTCAATTAAAACCTCATTCAAGTTTTGACCTTAAGATGAAGCCTTACGTGAAATTTCCACATGAACACGTTTGTAGGCAACGCTGCTGTTTTAATTAAAATCTGTTTTCAGAAGAACTCGGAATGGGCTGAAGTTCAATTAGAAACAAAAAGCATTATTTAAACTTCCCTCAAAAGTCAGCAACAGATCCATCTTATCTTTTGGAACAGCTTAGGAATTGCTAAAATTTTGATCAGTGTGAAGGCCAAATAACAATTATAATAACCAGTTTCAGAAATAAATATAATTTTTTTTGTAAAAAGCCCTATATTTGAGCACTTGCCAGTTATTAAAAGAAAAAAAAATGAAATAGAAGCAGGACAGCGTATCAAAAATCACTGAATTATTTTACAAAGGGAGAATTAATTTAGCTGTGCAGCCCACTTTTAATGCACATACACAGTACAGATACTTAAATTCCAATATATCAAAAGCTGGAATTAGAGAAATGCACTGCGACTATTCAAAAGGGGATCTGACACTGAATTATCCCTTATTTTTGCCTCACAGTTAACTCGGTCTACATAAAGGTTCATCTCAAAATACAAGACTATCCCCACCTGCTGATGGCATAGAAAGTATTAAACACTGAAGCAAATAAACAGTCCAAAGCTACAAAACCATTTTCAACAAACCTGTGTAAACGAATTATTGCTCTGAAAGCACAATAAAGAGAGATAAAAACACAAAGCCAGGCACACCGAGCCAGCCTCAGTTTCCCTTCACAGCTGTAGATGAGTCAGAAAAAAATTCTGCTCATCTAAGAGTCAATATTCAGCCAGAGTTCAGGACATTAATGGACAGCCAGGGCAAGAAAAAGGTTGTCTTTGAAAGCATTAGCAATGCCATTTTTTAGACAATTTACTGTCTGCTTTAAAAACAACAATAATAGTATTAGTTATATGAGTTACAAGTTAAACTCCAGTCTTGTCATCACTGTTAACAAGTGGGTCTTCAGTGTAAATCTGTTTTTGTTTAAGAAACTGTAAACGCTAAACAAACAATTTTAAACTCCACTCTTAAGCAACTGCAAATAATTGACAAGTATTTAAAAACAGGACATTATTCCAGGATTTACAAGAGACTTAAGTTTCGTATATGCTTACAGCTGAAGCTAACTGCTCCTCTGTCATGTCTTCTACAAAGACAGGTCGGGAAACAGGCTCTTCTGGAAGTGCATCTGCAGAACCCATCATTAACAAAGTCATCCCCTGGAAACACAGTCAAAGTAGCGGTTATTACGTAAGGACAATTGTTGCCTTAAAAATAAACAGATCTATAACAGCACACGTATTTCCCCAGAGATGGGCAAGATCTTTTTCTTAAGTTCACAGAATTGACATTGCTATGCCATTTCTTAAGACTACACTGTTCTAAAAACTAAACAAAGATGAAGTCAGTACATCAACATGACTTTAAAAAAGTCCCTGTTATCTTCTGATATCTATTCCGATTATCTATCTGATCTCCAATCAGGAATAATTTAACAATCACAAATATCTTTTTGCAAAATTTTCAGGCAAGCTCCATTCTTGATGGACCATGAGGGATCAACTAGCTTAGAGCCTTCAGTGCAAACACTCTTCCTTCCCATTTAAAAGCTACCTTAGAACCAAAGGCAACTTGGCAGTCATCTTCCAATTTAGAAATAAAGTTGCAAAGTTTGAAAAGTTTCCAGTTATCAAATTTGGAATTCTCAAAAAAAAAAAAAAAAAAGACTCATTTTTGACCAAAGGAAGGTAGGGCAATGTTTCAGGGGAATGCTGGTGAAAGCAGGACCGCAGCTCTGAGTTTGAAATGGCTTTTTCACTGAAAAAGCACATGGGAAAGGGAAGTGTCATCCTTTGGTCTAGCAAGTTCTAAGGACCTGAAACTAAACAAAAAAATAACTACACAAATTAACCAAAACAGCCAAGTTGGTTTAGGCACAAGGGCAAGAAACCATTCAGAAGTAAATAAATAACATCATGTTATCGTACTTCCTCCGCGAGCAAATTTCCTCCTCTAACAGAAAGGAGTTGACAGCATTCAAGAGGAATGCTTCCACATGGCTTTCCCATCCAAGGGGAAGAAAATACCTGCTGATCTTTGAAAATACAGCACTAAGGAAAAGGGACCATCTGATAATAGACAGAAATTGCTGGGAAAGTGCAATTAAATCCCCTAAAGTTGCAAACACATTATTAAGATGATAAAGGCAGCAACTAGCATTAGGGTATGCAGGAAAGGGCAGGAATATCATGTACTGGGGCTTCTGCAGAATGACTTTCCTACAAGAGCTGCAGTTTATTGCTACGGGCTGCTAAGAGATGCTGAGGATCTAGCTACAAAGGTAAGAGCCATGCAAACTAGCTCCACTGGCTCTAATAAAGAACTGAAGTGAAACCTGTACCAGAGTTATGAGGTTCCTACAGAAATAAAAATGATCAAAAGGGAAAAAAATACAAAGAAGTTCTTTGTGGTTCCCAGTCACAACACCACAAAGGCAAGGAACACACATACACCTCTATTTTGTGTTTTCTTTTTGAACTATTAAGGCCTATGAATAAATAACTACCAGTAATGGTTAGTCTTTAGACAAATCTATTTAACATGTCAGAAGGAATCTCACTGGGCTGATACAAAGGGAAATGGGCAGACCTGTATTTTCCAACATTCCTAATGCAATGGTTTTCCACACTGAAGGAGTAGGAGTGCAATGGACTACAGAGGGGGACTAAATTCACAAGCTCCAAGTAACGCTGCAGGTTGGACTAGATGATCCCTAAAGGTCTTTTCCAGCCTTAAGGACTCCATGACTCTAACGTGTCTAGCTATTATGGTCATAGAGAGACTGCACAGATGAACTGCTGTCTTAAACCAGCGCAACACTTTAGTATGAAAAATAAACTCAAAACACTTTAGGAAGATGTTGCTGCAATAGTGAAGGCTTCATATAAGTGCATAGGTATGACAACCACACAACAAAATTATTTGTCATCGAAGTCTTGACTTTTAAAAAATAACTACTAACTCAAATGGGAATAGCAACAAAACCATATTCTTGTTTAAATCCCCAAATAAAAAAATCAAACTAGTAAAACTTAATTATTCCACAACACTTACATTCTTTATTTTTATGTTCCCCCAGTCATCATCCTATATTTGAAGTGAAATAAAAGACAAGTTAGTTTTCTTACAGTAAAAAGTGAATGTTTCCATTAATAATGATCACATATTTAGAAATATACAATCATGTTCCAAAAAAGACTCTACAATATTGAATTATGAACACATTATGAAGTTCTCTCTGACAAGTGGTCCTAAGTCATCTTTTCAAGGCGGTTCTCCACGTATTAACATTGCTGAGACATAAACAACTTTTTTCCACAGAAAAGTTGTCCATATTCCATTATACTAAGATACGGCTTCAGCAAAGAAATGCCAGAGAACTGTCATGTCTGCTTTGTTCTCACTGGCCTGCAACCCACAAACCTTTCTTAAATAAGATTCTGAACATTAAAAACCAAACTCAACAAAACAGAAACACCAAACAGAGTAAAGTTTGGTACAAAACAGAAAAAGAGTTTTAAAATAGCAGTCTGCATCTCCAATCACTTATCCACAGATTTTTACCAGTGCTTTCTAGTGGTAAGCACTAGCCCATACAGAATACCTTCTGTAGGCAGTTTAATACGTACTATTAAAGATCACCTAGAGAAACACTCTGACTTACTGTTACCATTAGTTATAACTGTAACAGAGTGGGAAATAGTAACCAGACGTGAGCATCTACCTTTAGAGTTCCTCCTTTAACCATAACCTTCTGCCTAGCTGGCTGAACTCCGGTCAGTGCAAACAGCTGAGCTTTGAAGACCATCGGAGGTTCGTCAGTGTTAAGCTCCACGCCATCGAATTTCTCTTTTCCCCATTTCACGTTAACTGCAAACAAAGTAGTTGGAAACTGGATTATTTCCTAACATACAAAAATGTAAATCCTAAAATTAAATTAACATTTTAAATTCCAGACTTTATCCCATTCAATTTTCCATTCTAAAACTTGTCAGTGATCAAGTTAAGTTGCACCTTTATGGTAAAGTGTCTTGGCTATCAGAATATAATGTTCTCAAAGCAATGTATATACTGAAAAAATACTTTGCAAGCAACAAATGCATAAAACAGAAGCAGATATCCTTGAAACTAATCTTCACAACAGCAGTTAGAAAATTTGCTCTCTTGGCACTGCTAATTGCAACCAAATTTCTGAAGCAAATTCAGCTGCATGTTTTCATTTATGTTTTCCATAACATTTCCGTTCTGCTTCAATAACAAATTCTGTTCCTTAAATGCAAAGTTACTGTTTGACACCTGTAGTTTCAGCTACTGGTATTATTTACATGAAGGTACATGAGCATTAAGCATTAATCCATGCATTAAGGCTCCATAAAACTAGACATCTCCTGCCTTTCCTTAATAGAACATTAACTTTACGGGGCCCCTACCAAACTGACTGCTCTTACACTCTTCTCTTTTCATGCTGTTGACACTAATAATGGGGTACGTTTAAGTCACACACAGGGACAACCACCTGCCAGAGGCTCCCAAAGCCCTTTCCCCCTTGAAGGGTGCAGGGCTGGAATCAGGAGCTCCAACAAACTCCGCAAGTGGCATCACCAGCAGAAACGTTGGGCAGGAGGACACAGTCACATACTGACTTTGATGAAGCTGTTAGTAACCAAGGGCAGGCAAACAATTCTAGGATAAAGAGCATTTTATTAAGGAATCATTTTTAAGTCTTCAGCCTTTTCCAGCTGTGCTCATAGGCCCAAAAGGCCACTTTACCAGCTGCAGCTTTGCTGAAAAGCTACAATAAATGCCTGGGCCAAGTTCATTACAAATGGTAAAAATGCCATGCTTGCCAAAGCCACGTGCTTCCTCTTGCCCGTACTTCTGTTTTCAGTAAATCTACAAGGGTGTACAACAGATTTTTTTCTCCATTAAAAATTCTTAGAAGCTGTCATTAAAAAACACCTAGAAAGGTTAAGATTTCAGGTGTATGCATCACTTGGGGAGGAAAATAAAAAAGAATAACCAAGATTTAGCCTAAATTATTAGCTGGCTGAAAGCACGCCAGTATTTCTATCAGAAAGCTCCCTTTGATTTTCCTAACCTTTCGGGTTGTTTTAACACATTTAACACCATCATTTTCAGTTCCCATTTCCTTGGCAGCCAAGCCATGGGGCTCCTGGACGAGCCTGTGGCAAACACCAGGCTTTGGTTTTTGGGACCCACTAACACTGCACTGAACACGCACGGGAGCGAGGGGGGTTTAGCCCATACCCTCCCTGCTCCCGAAAATGGGTGAGCGGGAATGCCCCCGCTCCCGAGATCACCACTGAAACTCCCAGAAGTTTCCAAAAGAAGAGCGGGAAGGGAGTTGGAGCAAAACAGAGGGAACAGAAAAGCGGAGGGCAGCGCGGCCGGGCCTGGCCGCCGGGGGCTGGGGAAGGCTCTTTGCCGAGCGCCCGGGCCCCGCGGGCGCAGCTCAGCTCCGCGCCGCT